TCTCTCTCTCTCATTCTGTGTGTGTGTGTAATTTCCTTCTGAGACCTATATGTTGAGTATGTCTTCCTCAGTTGTGGGTTCTCCACCAGAAGATTGGGAATTGGAGGGTTCTACATGGTATCCTAGCTATTCTAAGCTATTCTAAGCACTGCACACTTCTGGACAGAAAGCTGCGATGTTGTTCTTGGAATCTTTTGTAGTCTGTTTCCCTGCTTAAGAGTCATAGCCCCAAGGGCTCCTACCACCACTGTGGCTATTTTGGCCTTTACTTCCCACAGCTGGATAGCACCCTAGAAATCTGGCGATAGATAAGAGGTGATGATAAGTAGGGGCTGTTGAGTTATTTCATGCCTATAAGCTTCCTTGATTATTTTTAATAGAAAGATAAGTCAGAATTTCTAAAATGAAAACAATATTGATTATCATTTCAGATAGATTCAAATAAAATGCTTCATTATCCCATTTTATGTACCTCTAAATATAAGAAGAAAAATTTAACAGTGAAGTTTACCTGACTGCATCATTTGTTGGGTGGAACAGCAGTGAAAGAGGGAGCATGGTTGATAAATGAGAAATATCCTGTAAGGTTAATTTATTTCAGTCAGTCGGTCTGGTTGTTTTCTAAAAGCTTTGGCAGCAGGTAGTAAACCGGGCTAAATGAGATTGATTTTCATGACCTTGTTGGCATTTTCTCCTGCTGCTGTGGGAAAGGAAAATTGTCTGTACAATCCCATTAAGTTCAAACATCACAATCTGTTGGAGACATTAGTGAGTGGTTGATCAAATTAACCAAACATCCCCATTGGGCCAAGATGTACTGGTTTTCCAAGTCTTTTTATACAGTCAGTAATATTCGTCTCATCTGCATTAGACAAGTCCCTTAAGATCAGACATTATAGAACCTTGGCAGAAATTTGAAAGTAATCTCTTGGCAGTACACGAGTTGCATCCCATTCAGTGGCCAAAATTGGAAGGAATCAAAAACAAACGTCTTATTGTTGCAAAATTAACTGGTCTCCTTCCTTGCAACCCATATTTTCCTCACTTACAGAATAATCGCTGCAGCAATGTAATGTGATTTTTATATACTAATATTGCATTTTGCCCTCTAATTTTCTTACAGATGCCACGACTGTGGAGCCATCCTGGAGGAGTATGATGAAGAAACACTGGGTCTAGCCATAGTTGTCCTCTCCACATTCATTCATCTCAGCCCAGATTTGGCTGCTCCTTTGTTGCTGGATATTATGCAATCTGTAGGAAGGTATAAACTTTCATTTTTCTTCCCATGTCCTTCTACAGATCAATGGCTTACAAATAAAGAGTGAATTCAGCATTGTTTCGTATTTCTAATGCATCTACTATTTGAGCAACCCTGAATGGAATGGAATGGAATGAACCAGTGGTGGGATTTAGCCAGTTCGCACCACTTCGGGAGAACTGGTTGTTAACTTTCTGAGCAGTTTGGTGAACTGGTTGTTGGAAGAAATCATTAGGGCAGAGAACCGGTCCTTAAATTATTTGAATCCCACCACTGGAATGAACCCTGAAAGCACAAAAGTTGCTATCAGGGGAAGTAGATCTGTCTGAAGCTCCCCAATCCAGCTCCTTCCTTTCTCCCACTCAGCTGATTGATACCAAGGAGAAGGCTGAATTGATATTACACTGTCACATCATCTAAGCCACCATTTCAGCACCGAGTGAACAAACAAGAACACGCATGCATGTGCATGCATGTATGCGTGTCTGTGTGCCAGAGCGCCAGAAACCCACATGCGGGCCCCAGCCATCTGGTCTTCAAGCACATGTGCACTGGCCAGCTGGTCTTTGCATGTGCCAGAGCACCGAAAACCTGAAGACTAGCTGGCCAGCACACACATGCCTGGTTTTGGGCCGTTTTGGACCATTTTTCAGGCTGTCTTTGACCATTTTGGGGCCATTTTCAGGCCATTTTCAGGCTGTTTTTGGCCTGAAAAACACCCCCCCAATGGCCAACAACGGCCTGAAAATGGCCTAGAAAACAGCCTGGAAAATGGTATTTGTATTGGTATTGGTATTTATTCGATTTGGGCCAAGATGAAGCTGAAAACAGCCAGAAAATGGCCTGGAAAACTGCCTGTTTTTTGGCTGGTTTTCATGGCATTTTCAGAATATTTTCCGGTGCTCTGGCACCTGCGAAGAGCAGCTGGTGATTGTGTGTGTGTGTGTGTCCACAGAGAGGGCTTTGTGTGCCACCTCTGGCACATGTGCCATAGGTCCACCATCTATGGGAGGACACAGAGAATCATCATGATACTTGATGAGCACTTTTTTAAATGAGCTATCTGATTTAACCAATTGCTGCTCAGGCTTTCCTGGACATGGAAGATTTGTGCCAGGTTAACCAGACAGCATATGTGCTTTAAGCCAAAGGGCAGATAAGAAATTGATACCTTTGAGAAAAGAGAAGCAGCAAAGGAAGGTGCCTCATATCAGTCCTCACAATTTAGATCCCTGGTGCCTGCATTAGTATCCTAAATTACCATTCTGGAAAATTTTCCAGCTTTAACTGAAAATACTGTTAATGTAAATGGGATCTCTTGCTTACAAACTATACACCCTTCTTTATTCTTATGATAAGGAAAGTAGATTTATCAGTGAGTGCTCCAATACAGCCCTTTTACAAAACCATTGTGGCAGCTTTTTTTCTAACAAAAGATTGTTCAGCTAAGTCATCTTAGCTCAATTTTTATTTGATTGCATAACCAATTCCAACTGTTTTATTGAAAAAAAAATGACATTTTTATTTAATTCTCTCCCTTCCCATCCCCTGGTCTTTTCTCCCTCACCAGGTTGGCTTCAAGTACCAATTTTTCTAATCAAGCAGAAAGGTACAGTATAATGTTAATCAATTTTTTTTTTGCAACAGGCCTACAGAACAAACAAAAGCATAAACATTTCTTATGAATATTTGATTTTGATCCAAAACAGAACAGCGATATTAGATGAATAATAGAGCTCCTCTTTGAGAGGAGATGGGCCGTTTAGAAGTATTAAAAATAAATAGATAATTTTGTATCAAACCACTGCAGTATAAATATAATATTTCCATAAACTAGTACAGAAATTGAGAGCTATCTAGAAAAAAATAGGGAACTCCTGAATATTCACGCATACATTTCATTAAGGAGGTACATAACATGGTGTCTTTTGTCAGATAACATCTGGAGTCTCAGATCATGTAGGAGAAATCCATAACTCAGTTCCAATCATGTCTATATTTAGCATGTAACAATTCTGCCAGGAGAAGTAATCATGTCATGGATTTATTTATGTGGAGTTTCTGATATTAACCGAGTGGCACTGAAAGGAGCCATTCCACAGTAATTGCACATCATAAGTGTAATAGGGTAAGATACTAATAGAGAAAGGAAAAAGTCACATGGGTACCAATATCTCTTGATATTTGATAATGTGATTATTCACTGTTTGATGATATCTGCCACCATTGAAGAATAGAATACAAATTCAATATAGGGCTGCCTATTGTAGTGATATAAAACATTTGTATAAAATTATTAGTATTATATTACACCTGTGCTGTTCTGCTTATAGAATGACATAAGACCTACCTATATGATATCACACTTTTGTGTTTAATAAACACAAAAGTGGGATTGAGAGAGGAAGAACAAATATGCATGCCTGGCCTCTCCACTACCTGGACAAGAAAGCCTTTTCTATTTATTTAGGCAACCCATGTGATTCAGAATCATGAAAAATCCCAAATCTATGCTTGTCTAAGGCATTCTGGCACTGTATGCAAATCTAAGGCATTCTGGCACTGTATGGATGGGTTATTTTGCACATTAGATTGAACTAGCCAATAACCCTGCGTTGCCCAGGTATTTATTTATAGGGGGAAAATGTCCGGACCAAACAGAATTTCTAATGTTGGATTTTCCCCCTTACTAGAGGGAGCCCCCTCGTGGAGTAGTGTGAAGCCCTAGCCATGGCAACTCCACTGCGCTGTATAGTAGAAGGCAGTATGATACAACAGGTTGTATCTTAACAGAACACACTCCCCAAGGGGTGTTAGGGGTGTCTTTCCCCCACAGTATTTTTTTCCAAAGAGAAAGTCTTCTATATACCAAGTTTGGGTGAAATTGCTCAAGGCATTCCAGAGTTATTCTGGAACACACACACACACACACACACACACACACACACACACACACACACACACACACACAC